TCCAAAGAAGGCCAGTGGAAGTTGAATCCAGAATTGGTTCTTGGTTCAGTGATGTTCTCAAGAATGACAGCTCTTTTTGTCCTGTTCCACCATCCTTTTTTGTTTTGAAAGATTTATTTATTTGAAAGGTAGAGTGACAGAGGGAGAGGAAGAGTTATAGATAGAACATCCATCTGCTGGCTCACTTACCAAAATACTGAAACAGCCAAGGCTGGGTTAAGCCAAAGCCAGAAGTCAGGAACTCCATCTGGGTCTCCTATGTGGGTGGCAGGGACCCTCGTACTTGGACCATCATCTGCTGCCTTCCCAGGTGCATTAGCAGTAAGTGGGAAGCAGAGGTGCCAAAACAGGGACCTGCATTCCAGTATGGCAGATGGATGTTCCAAGTGGTGGCTTAACCTGATGCAGCACAACACGCATCCCCACTTTGCCATCCCTTTTTGTTCCAGCTGGCAGAGATTATAAGGAAATATTTAGCAATATCCTTCACAGGGAGAGGATTTAAAATGTCAAAAATAATACTAACAGGACAGAGGCTCCTACATTTCCAGTGTGTATTCAAGTTCAGACATGTATACAAAATGTACTTCATTTGCCTAAACTTGTCTTTCTCCTATGCCCTGCCTGTTGGATAATGGCAAAAAGAAAAGTTAACCATATATGTCTTAAAGCTTAGACGGCTAACTGAATTAGTCCTTTAAAAAATGTTACTTCCTCTGCGATAAAAACTGTTTGCCCACTAATTTTCTCCCTAAGGGAGCATCAGGGTGGGGGAAGGACATGATTTACCTGTGACCTCTGAGGCTTTGGGCCAAAGGGGCACATTGGCCTGGCTCAGATCCTTAGAGTGTGCTGGTTGGTGTCAGCTGATCCCTGGTGATTGGTCTTCTCTCTGGCAGTGCTTCTTGTGGTTCTTGTTGCTGTCGCTGCTGACAGACTCCCACATTTCCCACTAAATCTACCATCTAGCCTGCTGGCCAGCTAATCACTTCCATTCCGCAAGAGCCATGGGCTCCATTCCTTTGTTCATCTGCCTTCCGTTTGTGTACATTTATTTACATACGAATATGACATATCCATGCAATTGTCAGTTCATGTTAAGCATCAGCAAGCTTATTTCTCTTATTTTATAAACATAAAGTGAAGCCCTAATATATTCCCCCCTTGGCTCCTAAGGGGTTTGGATTTCCACAACTCCATGAGAACAAGCGAGGAGACCTTGGCCTTGTCTCATGAAGGGACATAAGGGACCAGGTAATTGTCTTCCTTGGCCCAGGAAGACCATCGGGAGGCTTAATCCATATCAAGCGCAACTGAAAAAAAGCGTCAAAATTCGTCACCATGGGACTTCGAATTAAGACTGTACTGTTGGGGAATCTTTAGCCGAATACTAACCAAAAAAAAAAAAAAAAAAAGAAGCGGTTTCCCGCCAAGCAGACAGGGCAAACTGGCCCATGGGGTTGGGGGACACGCAGGCGGACGCTTCCCAGAGGCGGGCTCCGACCTGCGGCGCCCAGCCACGCGCCTGGGGCGGACGGTTGCCACGCGCGGAGCTCTGCGGTTGCTAAGCGCCAAGCTTGGCCTTCGCTATGCGCGTGCTCCGTGGCTGCCGCTCGGCCTGCGCCTGAGGTTCCGCGGCTTCTTCAGGCTCCAGGCGCTCAGGGACCATGCTGCGCCAGGCCTGGAGCTTCTTCAGGCCCACCGCGGCCGCTCAGGAATACCAGTCCGACCGTTTGTTTGAAGATTTGTTCCAGAAGCTGGACCACCACGGCGATGGGTTGGTGGACATCATGGAACTGCAGGAGGGACTGGAAGCCATGGGCGTCTCTCTGGGCCAGGAAGAGCAGGTGAACTGCGGGCCAGGCAGGATGGGACAGGAGTCCCAAAGGGCTGCACTTTCGAGTGCTTTCCCCATGGTGGCTTCCTTTTAGAGCGCTGCTGCGGTGTAACACATGGGACAACTGGGCCCTCTTGCTTAAGAGGGACCCCAGTCTTGGGAACCCGCCATGGTTATGTTACTGCAACCGTAACACAGATCCGTAAACGTCTTGTTGACAGCCTCTGAGGGCACTGCTTGGTGGCCAGTGAGGACCCGTCTGGAGCTCTCTCCATGGCTGTGCCCTTGGGAAATGTGGCCTACCAGCTTGGACAGGCTCTAGCCTCGCGGTGCAGCATGCCCTTCCGGGGCTTTCCCATGGGCACTTGACCTTGAATGGATGCCAGGAGAGGGCCATGCTCTGATCCTAACAAATGAATTACAACCCCGTATGTTCACTTTAACCTATAATGTTAAATGATACACTATGGTAGAGCAATGTCATTAAGCCTGACAAATGACCATATAATTACTGTTATATTTTCAAAAGACTCTCATTTCTACAGCTTTACATTTTACCTCGTTGACCCACTAAAAAAAAAGCAGAAAAATAAAAAAGAGAAAAAAAAGCAGAGAAGCTAAGAGACCTAAGACTGAGCAGCAGCATGAGAGTGTGATGTGAGTGTATGTGTTTGAAAAGGGGACAGAGGGACCTGTAAAATGGGATAGTAAGTTTCAGTAGAAATATTTTTTTCTTTTAAAAGATATTTATTTGGGGCCCCAGGTTGTGACATCGTGGGCAAAGCCTGCAATGCTGGCATACAGTATAGGCGCCAGTTTGAGACTGGACTGCCCCACTTCTGACCCAACTCCCTGCTAATGGCCTGGGAATAGCAGCTAAAGATGGCCTGATTGCTTAGGCTCCTGCTAACTCATGTGGGAGACCTGGAAGAAGTTCCTTGCTCTTGGTTTCTGCCTGGCCCAGCCCTGGCTGTTGCAGCCATCTGGGGAGTGAACCAACAGATGGAAGATCTCTCTCTCTCTCTCTTTGTAATTCTGACTTTCAAATGAATAAGTAAATCTTATAAATTTATTTGCTTGTTTATTTACTTAAAAGGCAGAGTGACAGAGAGAGAGGGAGAGATATCCACAGGTTCACTCCTCAAATGCTTGCTGCAGCTAGGTCTGGGCCTGGCCAAAGCCAGGAGCCAGGAACTCCATCCTGGTCTTTCACACGTGTGCCAGGGGACCACACACTCCTGCCTTCTTCTGATGTTTTCCCAGGCACATTAGCAGGAAGCCTGAGCAGGGGCAGAGCAGCCAGGACTTGAACCCATGTGCCGATATGGGATGCTGGCCTGACAAGTGGCAACTTAACCCCCTGTGCCAGAATGCTGGCCCTGAAATCTTTTGCTTGTGCAGAGACCGAATTAAATTCAGAATGTGAAAATAAGTAATTTTAGTGAGTTTTGTTTTTTTTTTTCTGGCAGGCTGGGATTAAATAATAGATGTGAAGGCAAATATCTGAGTCCAGAAAAACCTACATTTAGCAAATAATCAGAAAAGTTGGTGGATTACTACATTCTGTGGATCGTGCTATATCACATTTTTATTGGGGAAATTGCTGATATGTTCCCTAAGGCCTCCCAAAGCACTGATGGCAGTCTTTATTATCTACAATGTGCATTGTTTTCACTGGAATACCATGTGTATGTCTAAGAGTTTTTGCTGCATTCCCTTTGCATTACACTGAATTAGAAAGCAATTGGTGCTGTAGCCCTACAATCTTAATTTCTTTTCTCTTCTAGTAACATGCTGGGTCCTCTGGTTCTTCTGGCTGCCCAGAGTCAGCTACATCTTCTGTACATCCATCCCAGTGGTTCTCAACCAGCATTGATTTTTCCCTTAGGGACAGTGGCATTTTTTGACATTTTTGATGGTCTTGATGGTATGTTTGTGTATGTGAGAATCTGGCCTTTAGTGAGTAACAGCTGCTAAACATGCTACAGTGCAAGGACAATTACCTGGTCCCTTATGTCAGTATATGTCCGATGGATCCCATCTGCTGGTTCATGAACTCCCCAAATGCGTGCAACAAATAGGACTGGGCCAGGGTTGAAGCGGGGAGCCAAGGATGCAATTCAGGTCTCCCTCAAGGGTGCAGGCACCCGATTACTTGAGCCATCACTGCTGCCTCTCAGGGTCTACACTGATGGAAGCTGGAGTCAAGAAGCCAGAAACCAAAACTCCCAGGCACTACGATGTGGGCTGCAAGCCTCTTAACTGGCATCTTAACCATTAGGCATGACAGCTTGAACTATTCATTTTTTAATATTCAACTTGAGCCACCTGTTCTATGAATATTTCCTTCATCTCTTTCCCTCTTTCAGAACTTGCCACTCACAGTTTTATTCCCTCAAATGCTTTTCTATCGTAGTGGCTTTGGCACATTATTGCACTTACTTGCTTACATATGTGTTTACTTCTCTGTTTTCCTTGTGAGCCTATAAGCTTGAGGGCAGGGACAATGGCTCAGTCAGAGTATTACCTTACACATTACTGTGTGAATGAAGAAATAAATGTATATTTCTTGTGTGGAAGAGCAGACTATCAATCTCTGTTGTAATTTAAAGTTCTAATACTCACAAATTCTTTTTTTTATTTTTATTTTTATTTTTTTTTGACAGGCAGAGTGGACAGTGAGAGAGAGAGAGACAGAGAGAAAGGTCTTCCTTTGCCGTTGGTTCACCCTCCAATGGCCGCCGTGGGCGGCGTGCTGCAGCCGGCGCACCACGCTGATCTGATGGCAGGAGTCAGGTGCTTCTCCTGGTCTCCCATAGGGTGCAGGGCCCAAGTACTTGGGCCATCCTCCATTGCACTCCCGGGCCAGAACAGAGAGCTGGCCTGGAAGAGGGGCAACTGGAACAGAATCCAGCATCCCCGACCGGGACTAGAACCTGGTGTGCCGGCGCCGCAAGGTGGAGGATTAGCCTAGTGAGCCGCGGTGCCAGGCCAGTCACAAATTCTATGTAGTGTTAGAAAGTACTATAAAACTAAGATACCAATAATTTATGTCACAATATTCAATTTACGTGAAATAAATGTAGAACTGTTTAAATGCTGCAATTTGTAATTTACTTTGCCTGAACCTATGTCTCTAATATCACCTTTTTCTATCTTGTAGGTAATTTTAAATTCCGTTAATATTGACACGCGTAAACTGCTGAACTTTTGTGCATTTGTGCAGTACCTTAGAGATCGTGAACAAAAAATGAAGATGGCTTTTACCAGTTTGGACACCAATGAAGACGGTATGTTTCTATACAGTTGGCAAACTTGTTTATCCAAGAATAAACTATGTTTTGGTAAAGGTTTATTTTTAGATACTTGGCTTTGAAAGGTGATAGAAACCTCACTTATTTAATCCTGTTACTGGTTTTGCTGTTATTTCTTCTAAGGGATAATTTTAAATGTTGGCATTTAATTAGCAAGTATCCTTCAAAAATAAAAGCCACCAGCAAAAAAGGCTGTACCTTTTGAACAATATGCTTTTCAGCTGAGAGTCTGAGGGATAGTTAGAACATTTTGATAAAGTTTTTGCATGAGCACAGTCTACATCTGGACATTGGTGACAAAGCTGTAGCACATGAGATGAGTGAAAGCTAAGTAAAGAGTGGGGAAGAGTGTTCCAGGATGAGGAGGTGGCTCTTCGGGAGGCTGTGGCCACCCAGGAGAGCAAGTCATATCTGAGAGCCCGGAGGAAGGCAGGTGAAGGCGAAAGCCCAGAGCCAGGAGAGGGCTAGCAGATGGGGCTGGAGAGGCAGGCACAGGCAAGATTCTATACTGGATCCTAGAGGGAAATGGGGTGGGAAGATACTGATGATTTTTCAATAGGAGTAATACTATCAGATTTACATGGAGCAGGGATTGGCATCTGGACTAAAATGGGACTGTGGTGATGGCAATAAATGACTTGGAAGCCATCAGAGGGATAATTAGGCATGGAATATAACAACAAGGAAAGGAAGGGGGACAGAACAATTGAAGCCATGTTCAAGGATGGTATTATTATTGATATGAGAAACAGCATGTGGATTCTTCTAGCTCTTTGTGATATTTTGGCAAATAGGAGAAATAATTGGGATACTTATGACTTGTGGAATGTGCTGTTATAATGTGCTAAATCTTATTTGATTCTGTGTGTTTTCAAACTTTCCAGCTGATTGTCCTTTTCTTTATTCCTTTGAAGGAGTGATTGATACTTCAGAAATTGTTGATGCTCTCAAGGTTATAGGTGTAAATATTTCTGTAAAAGAGGCACAGAAGATTATTGAAAGGTTAGTTCTCATATATGTGTTTACATCCAAAAATTATTTTTATTTACTTTAAATCCTTTTTAATAATAAAAGTGATAGCTGGGAATTTTAGAAAAGTGTGACTAATAGCTTATACTTATTGGACATCTGTCCATGAACACTCTTCTCAGAAGTTTACATATGTTAGCTCATTTAATCCTCAAAAGACTTTAGAACCAAAAATCTATTGTGTCCCTCATTTCAAATAGTAGAGTTAAATATAGCTTGCCTAGGCTCACCATAATACATTTCCCAAAGTTAACCCGTTGATAACATTTTAGTGCATATATTTACTGCTTTGTGTAAGATTATATACTTTTGTATTAGTCAACAAACCAATCAACCAATCAACAAACCAATCAAGTGTATATCAATCAGATATTGATTAACCCTTGTAGCTAGGCATGTGCTAGCCAGTGAGGGTGCAAGGGAACAGTCCTGGTCCCTACCCTTATTGAGACAGAGAGAACGAGCGAGTGAGGGGGAGAAAGAGATTGAGAGAGAGAGAGAGAGAGAGAGAGAGAGTATGTGTGTGTGTATATGTGTGTATACACAGTGAGAAGGCAGTTGCAATGTGGCAAGGATTATGATAGGAATATATAGAGGGGCCGGCGCTGTGGCTCAGTGGGTTAACACCCTGGCCTGAAGTGCCGGCATCCCATATAGGCACAGGTTCGAAACCCGGCTGCTCCACTTCTGATCCAGCTCTCTGCTATGGCCTGGGAAAGCAGTAGAAGATGGCCCAAGTCCTTGGGCCCCTGTACCTGCATGGGAGACCCGGAGGAGGCTCCTGGCTCCTGGCTTTGGATCGGCACAGCTCTGGCCATTGAGGCCAATTAGGGAGTGAACCATCAGATGGAAGAGCTCTCTCTCTCTGCCACTCTTCTTTCTGTGTAACTGTGACTTTCAAATAAATAAATAGATCTTTAAAATAAAACAGGAATATATAGAACAACAAAGTGTGACCAGGAGAGAATGCTGAACTCTATTGAACTGTACTGCACTTCTGCTATTTGATCTGTTTATATAATTAATTAGAAGAATAGATTTCCTAACAGAAAGCATTTCTGGGATGAGGCTAACTTGTTAAGAATAACTTCATACAGGAGCATATACAGACCATAAAGGGAATAATATAACAAATAACCATATTCATTGTTGGATTTGTTGTATTTAACATTTTACCATATTTTATTAAATTTTAAAAAATAAATAAAACATTACAGTTAATGTTTTCACTGTTTGTCTCTAAACCCATTTCCTTCCTTTGAGAAGTAACCACTTCCCTGAACTTCTTATGCCCATACAGATTTTTATATGTGTATATGTGTTATTATGTTTGTATTCTTAAAATATGTGATACTGTTTCTCATGTTTTAAGACTTTAAGTTGTGATATAATGCATACATATTTTTTGATCACTATTTTCTAATCCTCCCACTTGGGAAGTTTGTTGCTGTTGATGTCAATGCACATAACTCTACTTCAATCATTTTAGTCACTGTATTGGTTCTATTTTATAAATTTAATGTGATTCACTTATGAATTTTCTTGATGATTATTGTTTAGGGTTTTAAAAAATTTTTGTTTTGTTGCTAATAGAAAACAGTATTGTAATGAATAATTCTTGTGTACTTCTCCTGTGTCTCTTACGTTACTTGTAATGGAGTTGTTTGGATATGGGGCATGAACACATTTAACTTTAATGAGATATTCCAAATTGCTCATCAAAGTTGTTGTACTTGTTTAGATTCCTGCCAGAAATGTATTCCCAACCCAACACTTGATACAGTGATTTTCCAATATTTTAAAATTTTCCAAATATAAGGTCATAAATCTTTAATTTATTTTAATGTAATTAATTATGTTTATCATTACTAGCAAGACTGAATATTTCTGCATGTATTCAGTGGCCATTTGGATATTTATTTTTTTGTGAATTAGCTGTTCATACCTTTTGCATATTTATCAACTAGATTGGTTGTCTTCTTTTTTAAATTTTTGTTTGAGAGACAGAGAGACACAGAGAGAGCAAGACAGGCAAGAGAGAGCTCCCATCTGCTGGCTCACTTCCCAGATGCCTGTAACATCTGGGGCTGGGCTGGGCTGAAATTCCCAAGCTTGGAAGAAATTCAGGTCTCCCGGAGAGGAGGCAAGATGGCGGAATAGGAAGGGAGCACACTGATAGTCCGGGGAGAGATAGTTTAATAAAAGTGGAGATACTGCAGGTTCAAGGAAGAGTAGGGGAGGAAACAGCAGAAGAAACTCTTCCGGAACACGTGATTCACAGCGGACCTGCGTGGAGAGCGTAGGAGCCCACAGTTCGGGACACCAGCGGCAGACTCAACACACCAGCGCTGGAATGCGAGGTGAGCCGAACCTCAATAGCCCGAGACACCGGCAGGCAAGTGGAGAGAGGAGACTAGAGGGAACGACCCCCGGGGGGAGGGGGGGAAGTTCACCAGGCTAACTGAAAGAGAGAGAGAGAGAAAAAAAAAGGTGACTGGTACGGACACGGGTTTCTCTCTCTCCGCTCACCTCTCAAGGGCGAGCAAGACAAAGAGCAGGCGCCATCTTGGACACACGTCATAAGCAGAGTGACCTCAGGTCTGCACTGGCCCTGAGCCTAGCAGAAAAACCTGACTCTGGGCGGGGCGAATTAACAGGAGATTAGGACCTAGTAAATTTGTGGTGCTACTGAACTGAGACTGTGAAAAAAGAGATGGTGGGGGAGAGAACTCACGGAATTCACGTGAGCACTCTCCAGAGACGCTACAATTCCGTAACTTTGGCAACTCAGTGGGAGACTGAAGGAGAATTTGAGCCCACTCTGAGGGCCGAACAGATTCCCTGTGTGGTCCTTGGGAAAGAGCTTCCGATCTCTGGCTCCTGTGGGTATATCATTTGCCTGCTAACTACCTCCAACTTCATTCAGCTGTGTGGAATTACTTCCCTTTTGAATCAAAAAAAAGAAAGAGAGAGAGAGAGATTTACCACGCCTAACCTGGGAGTGTCACCTTTGGCACACCAAACAGAGCTCTCAGGCCACACCCATCTCAAGCCCTAAGGCTCCATCAAAAACAGATAGTCCACTTAATCTAGAGTCATAGTATAACAAGAAAAAGCACCACAGTGAAGAAACCAAATATCTCCAATATGCCAAATAACAAACGCAAAAACCGAGGTAATAAAAACAAGGAAGTCACCATGATGCCCTCAAATGAAAAAGACACCCCAATTCAAGATTATGAAGATGATGACATAGAAGAAATGCAAGAAGCAGATCTCAAAATTTGATAAGAACATTAAGAAGTTCTCAAAAACAAATTCTTGAACTATAGAAATCCTTAATGGACAAGATAGAAAATCTCTCTCATGAAAATGAAATATTAAGGAGGAATCAAAATGAAACGAAACAACTAGTACAACAGGAAACTGTGAAAGTGACTGAAGTGAAGAATTCAATAGATCAAATGAAAAACACAATAGAGAGCCTTACAAACAGAATGGGTGAAGCAGAAGAGAGAATATCGGACTTAGAAGACAGAGAACAGGAAAGGATACAGTCAGACCAAAGAAAAGAAGAGGAAATTAGAAATCTAAAACATATTGTCAGGAATCTTCAGGATACTATTAAAAAACCCAACATTTGGGTTCTAGGAGTTCCTGAAGGCATGGAGAGGGAGAAAGTATTAGAAGGCCTTTTTAGTGAGATATTAGCAGAAAATTTCCCAGGTTTGGAGAAGGACAGAGAAATCCTAGTACAGGAAGCCCACAGAACCCCTAATAAACACGACCAAAAGAGATCCTCACCACGACACGTTGTAATTAAACTCTCCACAGTGAAACATAAAGAAAAGATCCTAAAATGTTCAAGAGAGAAACGTCAGATTACTCTCAGAGGATCTCCTATCAGACTCACAGCTGACTTCTCATCAGAAACCCTACAAGCTAGGAGGGAATGGCGAGATATAGCCCAGGTACTAAGAGAGAAAAACTGCCAGCCCAGAATATTATATCCTGCAATGCTATCATTTGTGAATGAAGGTGAAATAAAGACTTTCCATAGCAAACAGAAATTGAAAGAATTTGTTGCCACTCGTCCAGCCCTGCAAAAGATGCTTAAAGATGTGTTACACACAGAAACACGGTCATCAATATGAAAGAAGATAAAGGAAGGAAACCTCACAGCAAAAGATCACAGGGAATTCAAAGCATATATTAGAACTTATCTTTGGCAAATGGCAGGGCAAAGTTACCACTTTTCATTAGTCACATTGAACGTGAATGGCCTGAACTGTCCAGTTAAAAGACACCGATTGGCTGATTGGGTTACGGAACAAAACCCATCTATTTGCTGCTTACAAGAAACACATCTTTCCAACAAAGATCCATACAGACTGAAAGTGAAAGGCTGGAAAAAGATATACCATGCCAACAGAAATGAAAAAAGAGTGGGCGTAGCCATCTTAATATCGGACAACATAAACTTTACCACAAAAACTGTTAAGAGAGACAAAGAGGGGCACTATATAATGATTAAGGGATCAATACAACAAGAAGATATAACAATTATCAATGTATATGCACCAAACTACAGGGCACCAGTTTATCTAAAAGATTTGTTAACGGACTTAAAGGGAGACTTAGACCCCAATACAGTAGTACTGGGGGACTTCAATACTCCACTCTCAGAAATAGACAGATCAATAGGACAGAAGATCAACAAGGATACAGTAGATTTAAACGACACTATAGCCGAAATGGATCTAACAGATATATACAGAACTTTCAATCCTACAGCTAAAGATTTTACATTCTTCTCAGCAGTACATGGAACCTTCTCTAGGATTGACCACATACTAGGCCATAAAGCAAGTCTCAGCAAATTCAAAAGAATTAGAATCATACCATGCAGCTTCTCAGACCATAAAGGAATGAAGTTGGAAATTAGCAACTCAGGAATCCCTAGAGCATACGCA